TACAGAGATATTACGTCACTTGTGTAACGTACAGAGATATTATGTCACATTGGTATGCGTAATTTGAAATATAATGAATGGCTAGTTTTCTATTACTTTTTTCTATCCATTTATATGTGTTAATAGAATAGTAATTAATTTTGAATTAATGATTGTTAGTAATGCGGTGGTTGCGTAACAATTTAATCAAGAAATATTTCACAGAGGGTTACACTCAGCCTGAAATCGTGTTTTTTTTTGTTCTTTCACCATAATTTATGCATTTCTGTTAGGCAGTTACAAAGAATATTGAAAAAATTGAATTTAAAACGAAAAAATGTTGAAGAATCACCCATCGATGTGGTTTTTGGGGTGTTAGAAGAAATTGAAGATGGTAGTGGAACCTGTCTAGGATACAAATCGTTATGGAGGAGGTTAAAACTGGTATATGGTATCCAAATGAAAAGGAATACTGTTTTGGAAATACTGAGGATAGCTGATCCGGAAAGTGTTGAGGCAAGGTCACATAGGAGGCTGAAGCGACGTAAATATATAGTTCCAGGACCCAATTTTATATGGCACATGGATGGTTATGACAAACTGAAGCCATTTGGTTACGCAATCCACGGAGCTATAGATGAATTTTCAAGAAAAATATTGTGGCTACGAGTAGCTTCAAGTAATAACAATCCTAGGATAATAGCGTCATATTACTAAGAAACAATTAGACAATTGAAAGTTGTGCCAACATTGCTGAGAACAGACAAAGGGACAGAAAATAGCATAGTTGGGTCTTTGCAGAACTATTTAAGGTATTATCACAATGACAATTCAGCAGGATTCAACAGTCATATTGAAGGAAAGAGTACTTCCAACCAGAAAATGTAATGCTTCTGGTCACAAATGCGACGACAACAAACTCATTTTTTCAAATGACAATATAAGCATTTTTTTATTATGTGAAAGAGGTTAGAATTTATGAGAAAAATTGGAGGTACAGTATAAATTATTTAATCCTTTAAGGTAAGCCATAAAAATCAAACATAAATTATGTCACTAGGAAAATCATACATAATTTGTGGCTTGTCACATGCAAGTTTTTTTTTTGTTTCCTTATATTATGTGTGTTCCGGTCTTTCGCCAAAAGGTCTAGTTCACCCCAAATAATAGAACCAAAACAGTATCTGAGACTTTCCACAATTAGCTGATCACTATCATCATAGTTCATGTTGTCTTTGAGATCTTTGAAGAAACGTATCCAATAACTTATACCCTGTCGTCGCATTTGTGACCAGAAGCATTACATTTTTTGGTTGGAAGTACTCTTTCCTTCAATATGACTGTTGAATCCTGCTAAATTGTCATTGTGATAATACCTTAAATAGTTCTGCAAAGACCCAACTATGCTATTTTCTATTCCTTCGTTTGTTCTCAGCAATGTTGGCACAACTTTCAATTTTCTAATCGTTTCTAAGTAATATGACGCTATTATCCTAGGATTGTTATTACTTGAAGCTACTTGTAGCCACAATATTTTTCTGGAAAATCCATCTATAGCTCCGTGGATTGCGTAACCAAATTGCTTCAGTTTATCATAACCATCCATGTGCCATATAAAATTGGGTCCTGGAACTATGTATTTACGCCGCTTCAGCCTCCTACGTGACCTTGCCTCAACACCTTCCGGAACAGCTATCCTTAGTATTTCCAAAACAGAATTCCTTTTCACTTGCATAGGTACCATATACCAGTTTTCACCTCCTCCATAACGATTTGTATCCTAGGCAGGTTCCACTACCATCTTCAATTTCTTCTAACACCCCAAAAACCACATCGATGGGTGATTCTTCAACATTTTTTCGTTTCAAATTCAATTTTTTCAATATTCTTTGTAACTGCCTAACAGAAATGCATAAATTATGGTGAAAGAACAAAAAAAAACACGATTTCAGGCTGAGTGTAACCCTCTGTGAAATATTTCTTGATTAAATTGTTACGAAACCACCGCATTGCTAACAATCATTGATTCAAAATTAATTACTATTCTATTAACATATATAAATGGATAGAAAAAAGTAATAGAAAACCAGCCATTCATTATATTTCAAATTACGCATACCAATGTGACATAATATCTCTGTACGTTGCACAAGTGACGTCACATATCTGTACCAGTGTATCAGTAGCATTGTATGTCGTGACTGGGCACGCTAGAGATGGGTCGGTATTTGAGGAACGGTATTTTGGAGCGCGATTTTATGATACCGTACCGTCGCGGTATTCAAGAAAGATGCGCGACGGTATTTTCAATAGACGGTATCTATCGCAGAGTATCGTACCGCATCGTGTCGCGTCGCCTCTTGGCCTCTCAGTTCTCAGTTCAGTTCCTACTACTGTTCCTAGTAGGAACACGATACTTACGTAGAACGTATACTGTACCGTTTCTCTCTGTCGTGGTGGGTAAAGTAAGAATGGAACACCATCGCGATATATCATCCGCAAGCTGTTATGGATCTTTTTGGCACATGTATTACCCCCAATTGAGTATTAGGCGGTATTGGTCGATATTCAAAGCAGTCAATTATTGTTTGGTTGAGTTCGATATGAAACATTTTTCGCATTTTATTTGAATGATTTGTCATCAGGTAAATGAGATACATGAAATAAAATTAAAAATTTACTTCATAAAATTAACAAAAAATCAAATATAAACACAAAGATAAAATGAATGAATGAAATCAAACAAAATAAAAATTCTATATGAAATAAAAACCGAAAAGCAAATGTTCTAAAATGAGCTCACAATAAGGTAAGTACCTACACGAAATTAAATAATAATCCTATCTATACTATAACATCACAAAAATATCACTCAAGATTCAAGGAAGAGTTTATCTGATGAAATAACTAAATGAGCGCGTAAAATAAATAAACAAATACATACATTTGCGGAGTTATTTGTGGGAAAGAAATTTGAAATTTGAATCGGAGTATATAGTTCATTGAAGCCGATATTTCTATAGGCTCAACCAAAAATTAACCCAATTAACCCAGTATTTAATCGCGGTATTTTCCAGTCGCGATCGCGACTAGAGCGCTCCAACGAAGGAACGGTATTTCCCATCTCTAGCTTCCGTACAATAACAATAAATGACAATTGCAGAGTTACCACTCGATATTTTATTTTCCTACTAAAATTTTGATAATTTAGTTAAATTAGGCAATTTCTTAACTTTTGTATGTGCACATGCTTTATATATAAAAGTTAAATTTTAAGAAGCTTGCATAGACTCTCTAAACAAAACCCGGGTTTTATGCCTCAACGATGTTTGTCCTAAACAAATAAATAGAAGTTTTATATGAGCTTTCAAATTGTTCTTGAATTTCCTAGCAGAATAATCAGCATAATCGAATTATAACAACGTAATCGATTATATTTCGACGTAATAACGTAATGAAAATATACTTTTCTCCATCTTTACACAAAAAATTAGGAAGAAACTTTCGTAAGAACGAGAAAAGCAATTAAGGTCAAAATTCACTCTTTACAAAGATGTGAAGATCATGCATAAATTTACTTTCAGATACAAACTAACCATTTTCATATAAACATTGAATAACATTGAAAGAAAAGTAATTTCGAAACAACTACTTTTATATGAACATTGAGAAGGAAATATTTTGGCTTTGTATTCCCCCATGCTTATATGAAAAATGTAGGAAACTCCTAAAAAAAAAGAAAGCATCAACATTCAAAATAAACTGTTTACAAAAATGTATTTGAATTGAACAAAATTATATGAGCAATTGTTTGAACAGTACTTTTAAATTCGTGTAATTCAATGTTTATATGGAAGTAGTTGTTTTGAGAGGGCTTTTTCTCCTGGTTTTTATTTGAAAGCAACTCAAATGTACGATCTACAAATATTTGTGGTTATTTTTTTAAATTGATGCGTTTCTCCTCCTTTTGAAAGATTCCCACATTTTTTATAATGATGGAAGAATAGAAAGTCAAAACATTTTTTTTTCTAAAACTAATCACTCCTAAAACTATACCCCTTTCAATTTAATTAATATTGAATTCTTTCTTAATATTCTTAAATTCAGTACCTTCATTCGTTATGGAATCGAATCAGATACCATTCATAGAAACAGTACACAAAATGGGATATGAATGAGATATAAATTTTCACTCACATGGAACCCCCTGTCATCCTCAAGGCGGACTTCAGGATAAGACTCTTGTTATATCACCTAATCAGCACCTATCTGGATAATATTTCAAGATGAAGCACTCATTTCCTTCATAACATTACGATTTTATGTCACGGAGGAGAAAAATCCACTCATGTCACGATAACAGTAAGAAAAGACATTCGTACGTTAATTTCATTCAATCACAGCCACATGAATCTTGTTTGAAAAAGAAATTAGTGTTAGGAAGATGGTGAAGTGAAAAGCAATAACTTTTGCCCCCAAAATTTATCTCCAACAGTAAAGTAATGAAAGTGGTACCTGTTGAAATTCAGTTATTTAACATTCTATTATTTCCATGAGCGGTGAAAATCTGCTGCATTGCATTAAAATTTTGTTGAGTATTCAGGAGCAGAAATAATCTCGCTACCTGTTACACGAACGTCTCGTGACAGTTGGAACTCGGCTCCTATATCTTGGAAAGGAAAAAACCTTAAACTATGATATAATTTTGGAATTTCGAATTTGTAATTCAGACGTTTTCAATCAATAACGTAACATGACTTCCCAACCTCATCTGACCTAATTACCAATTCACATTATTTCGAGTTAAAATTGAGAATTTTATATTGGAAAAACATGAATCCAATCACTATGGCCTTTTTTGCTCGCTTATAGCCGCCTATAATCGCAAAAATATTTTTGAACAGATAATGATGTATAACAGACACCTTCCTCCTAACATTAGAGCCATGTTGCAACTGTGGCGACGTGAGATACACGTCCTATAGATTGTTTACACTTTTGTCTTCTGTGGTTCTGAGATTTTCAAAAATGAATTTTCAGTTGCTGCTGCTGTGTTAGAGATATTTTTTTAGAGTTAATCAACGGAAATTGGAAATCATATTCATATCAGTAAACAAAAACGATGAACATAAATGAGAACAAATTAAATAGATCTCGTTCAGAATCAGATATAAACAATATTAGCGAATTTCATTATTCCCCAGATATTGTGAGAAGAACAGTGGTAATAGAAGAACTTTATGGAAATTATAATAGTAGAAGATACTTATCATGCACTCGATTATTTGGTATGAGTTATGATTCAGTAAATTTAGATGAAAAATTTCGACTTATTTTGCAGGTGATAATTCCTATGGTGTGAGCAACATAAACTCATTCAATCAACTTTCATTAGATACCACTGATACTAGCCTGCAAATGCAATCAAATACGACTTATAAGAATTATTCACAAGGGAACTCCTCACATTATTTGGACAATTCCAGTGGTGTAGTACCAATGGATGTGGATAGCTCTTTTGATTGGGATGAAAGATATCCTAAGTTGATGGGAACCAATTTTGAATCATCTTTTAACAGATTTAAGAGCATAGGTGATGCAAGGTATAAAGCTTCAGATAATGCTTTGAAGAGAAGAATTCTGATTCCAACATCCACCGATACAGTTACAGATGAAACTGGACAAAGAAGAGAATTTGTCATTGATAGCGAGTGTCAGACCCAAAAAGAGCCCATTATCCCTATTCAAAAAAAAGGATGTTCAAATAAATGGATTGTTTTACTGTTATTGATAGCTGTATTAACTGCATTTTACATCACTTTAAATAATGGTTATGGATTCATTTCTGTGAACAGTGCTTTACAGATTGAAAATGTTCAGAAAGATTTAATAGAAAATGTGTTTGAACAGCCTTCGCCTATCGAAGTCATAGTACATACTTTAGAACAAAGGAGAAATTGGCAGGAAAGGGTTAAAGTCCTGGGATTTATAGGCTCGCAGGGAGTTGGTAAAACTTTTACTGTTAATATTATTAGGAAACATTTCATTCCTTGTTTAGTGCATGACATTCTTGGAGCACATTTGTCCTACAAAAGTCGGCAGACAAAAATTTTCGAATCAATAAATGGATGTTGCTTAAATTTAGTTGTGATTGATGATTTGACCAGGGAGGATAATGTGGAGCTGTTTGCATTCATTCATTCTCTCCCAAGAGACCACTTTATTCTGGTTATATCAATATTCAACATCCAATATACATCTAATGATTTAGAATCTGAGATAAGATACCAAGATATCATTGAAATTAGGAATGCATTCGATAACTCAGAATTGTATTATGAATTGGTTTTATTTCGAGAGTTTAGTCCAGAGCAAGTTAGAAACTGGGTAACAAAACAGCTTAGCCTTCAAAACATTACTACCCAAATGCAAAATGAAGTAATTGAGAGTGTTTTGAAAGGTCATGACAGTGCTAAACTGGGACTTAAAGGACTGCATTTTAAATTATTATTGGAATTAGAAAAGTACAAGAAATAGTTTTTGAAAACATAATTGACTAAATGATTATTTCATATTGAAACACACTGATTTTATGTAATTTCATTGGAAATAAAATTGGGGTTTATTAAAATATATTTTTATTTTGAATATACATAGCATAAAAACAAAGGAATTATTCTACAGGTTATAACATTATTCAGTTCTGAAAAAGATGTAATGTGTCGGTGAAAATGGAGATTGGCGAAATTATTTTTGTATCTTCAGGTTATTTTAAAACAAACTACTCAATCTACTTCTAATCTTCTAAAGTTTCCACTAATTCCGCATAAGGAATCACCTTCGGACCCACACGAAACTGCATTTCTCTTTAGGGCAGAAACCGCTCCTTCCTTTGCTTTAGCACTGAAAAGCTCTTCATTGACTGCCATTTTGTCATGAGACATCAAAGTGGGATGGGCATTGACTAACTCCTTTTTCCATAGTTCTAAATGAAAATATAAAGGAATGTATTGTACTTATAGCGTGAACATTGGAATTAGTTGGATTTTGATTTGTCGAATTGGAAAGTCATTGTTCTCACCTATCATCTCGGACATGGGCATATTTCCTCCGTATTCTTTGGGAAGAATATCCTTTTCTATATTTCCACTGTTCAAAAATTCTTCCAAATTACTGTAGAGCCTGACTCTGCTTTTTATTTTGTCAGAAATGAGGGACATTCCAAAATCAAGGGCAAATTTCATTGATGGATGAACATTTATCCCATGCACTTCTTTGTGTCTCATTGGTAGAGTTCTCTGAAAATAAACGAAAAATAACATTTCAAATTCTGGTATCCTGTATAATTTTTTATATTATATTTTTGCAAATGGCGCAAGTATGACCACAATAATCATGGGAAAGCATATTAAAACTCACATAGAAGACCCCAAAAATAAACTAACAAGATGCGTCTTTGGTGGGAAAGTAGCCTGGTGGGTTGACGTGGGTGATCAGCTCCACTCAGTCAATCCGACCGCTGTGCGAACCGGACGATCTATTTTCACTTCCTATCGTCCAACACGTGTTAAGAATCACACGTTAAAAGGTAGGACCTCGTTATTCCTTAGCTCGCACAAGTTTCCACTTTTGAGAGTCGTTATTCATAGGGGAGCGACAGCTGGTTAATGGAAAAACATATTTAAAAATTTTTTTTTTTTCAGGCAACTTCGATTCCTTCAATTTTAATACCCCTATGAATCTAGTATTGTGAAATACACAATCGTAATACTAGAAACTCCAATTACTTTGCGAGTCTCTCCCTCAACCTAGATATCCACAAATATTTCAAAGATCTTCATCTGAAATTAATGATTTATATTTTCCCAGTGCTCAGGCTATAATACTCGTAAGTTGGTCGGTCGGTAGCCAAGCGGTTCGGCGTGGGTGCTTTGTTCACTCACTCGAATTGACTGCCGTGTTGGTCGGTGGTTCAAGTCCTAGTCTGAACGATCGATCTTCACTTGCTNGTTAAAAGGTAAGACCTTGTTAATCCTTAGCTCGCACAAGTTTCGACTTCTGAGGGTTGTCGTTCGTAGGAGTGCGACAGCTGGTTAACGGAAAAACAGATTTTTTTTAAGTAGGACGGCCATTTGGAAGAGAATTTCACTAAATCAGTTATATACAGTAGGTAAGGTCAGAAAGCAACCAAACGAAATATCAAAGAATTATGGACAACTATTTGACTTGATATTTTTTGAAAGACATCATTTTTGATAGGCAGTGGCGGATTTTCAAATTTTTAAGGTATAAGCTAATATTGCTGCCTTGCCTCTACAATTGCCATATATATTTCTGGTTATATCATGTACGAGCTAGGTTAAGTAGGTATGCTACTTACACAATAATGTACATTTGGTTAAAGTGAATAAATAGTCTTCATTTGTTGGGGCCGTTAATAAATCATTTCATTCTGGCAGATTTCCTACATGTCTTGAACTAGCAATAGTCATTCCGCTTCATGGTGTGAAATGAATGATCCATCAAACTTCCGCCCTATATCATTGCTTTCGACAATCTCAAAAATAATTGAAAAACTTGATAAAAAGAGAATGATTAACTTCTTGAGTAATCATAACATACTATGCGAATCTCAATATAGATTCCAAAGCCATAAAAACACAGGCAGAATCTATTGGGGCAGTATTCTGCCCAAATAGATTCTCAAAAACAATCGACTGCTTGAACCATGAAACACTATTTTTTTTACTTTCAAACTTCAGTGTTATGGCTTTAGAGGATTATCATATAACTGGATTCACAGTTATCTAACACAGGCAGGAAGCAGTTAGTAAAACTCCAAGGAACCACAAGGTTCGGAGAAGGTCAAATTCTGGTCTTTGTCATAGAAAAAAGGTCCTTCGGGACCCTGGAGGGAAGTATGTTCAAGGCCTACTATAGACTTGGCATAGTAACTTTCAGGGTCTTGAAGGGCCTTTACATAAGTACTGATTTTGGGAAATAGTTCAAGTATAACAAAAATGCTTCGGTGGTACTTTAGAAGAAAGAGTTTGATATTGCTCTTATACAAGAACCCCGGGTCTAAAAGGGAAAAAAACAATAATTCTAGGCCTCCACGAAATGAGCGGATCATTATTTTCAGAGAGCTAGGATGCACTAGAAGCACTGACAAACTTAAAAGTGATGTCTAGCCCGGTTTGGGAATGCCTTGAGGAACTGCCAGGAATAAGGTTGACTATGTACTGGGTGCCTGAACACTCAGGCAAGCTGGCGAGTGTGCCAGACACAGATCCTTGAATCCATATATAGGCCCTGAACTAATCATGGGGGTTCCAAAATCTCTGGAACGGAACCAGATTGGCAAATAGACCTATGAGAAACAAAAAATAGTAAAAACACATAAAATATAGGCTCAGATCATTTGCAGGGCTACTCTCTGAACACTGTCCATCGAGAGAATAAAGTAGAATAATGGAGATCTGAGCTGCAGGCGTAGCAACAAAGACATAGGACAGTTCGTCATATTTTATGAGAAAGGAGGCTTTGGATCACGAAACGTAAACAATTTATGAAAACCCTAAATTATGTCTTACTTTTCTCCCACAATGGTCCTACTTTTTTCAGACAGGGAAAGCTGAATAAAACCGTTTGAAAAATAGAAAAACACCGGAATGAAACCCGTTATTATTTCGTACCTACGTATATACAACTCCTACATTTCTGCTGTACCACACATTTTTGATTACTGGGTATATTTTCATATGCGATTAGATTTTTTTTTCAGCAATCGTACGGGAAGTGGTTACTTTCCGTACCTACTTCCTGAACTAGGCTGGGAAGAATCACATCGTTGTTATTGTGAATATGAAAAGCTTGGTGGGTAGGTATGGTTTTGATAAATAGGTATAGTTGATCATTACCATAGCAGCGAAATAAAGACTATTTGACATGGAATTAGTTGACATTTTGATTTTTGAAAGTTTGCATGGTTTTTGTTCGCAAGTATCGCGATAAACTATAAAAAGCACAGCGATGGTGAGTTTGAAGATGTGCCTTATGACATTTTCAATGCAGCAGTTGCTGATATAGCACGATTATTGCTTGAAAATCAAATGTAATACAATACAATCAAGATTTAAAATGTTCGATTTTTTTTCCTACAAAGAAATTTAATAATGTGTCTCATCGATTTGTTATTCTATATTCTATACGGTTGCTGCAAAAATAATTTATTTTAACTCGCAGACTTCCAGGACTCGCCTGCGGCTTGTCCTGAAATTTTGTGTGCTCTTCTAAAAAAAACAAATTTCCGAACTTCACATAATATGCAATGTACGAAAGTGTTAAATCAATAGTTTTGTTAGATAGTTAGTTCTATTCTCCTCTTGTAGACATGTGTTGTTATTCTTTCTCTAACAGCAAGGCAGTCGTGGCCGAGCGGTTAAGGCGTCTGACTAGAAATCAGATTCCCTCTGGGAGCGTAGGTTCGAATCCTACCGACTGCGGTATTTTTTAATGTGGCATGAACCGTCTTTTTTTTTAATTACAGGCTTGTTTGCAATTGTATCTACGCATTCATGTAAGAAAACTAACATAGCGTCACTTTTAATGTAATATATGTTGAACCTTCCAAAAGGTAGACTAGTTTTTTAAGCACTTCATTGATATGGATATTAAATGAAAGGGTTTGCTGAAAAGAATACGACGAAATATACATTCACGTTATTCTATATCAAGAGGAAGATTAAACTTCCTCTTGGTGATTGAAACACATGTCGAGTGGTTAAAAATAACGGTTTGGTGTTGAGATAAAACTCCAGTAATACTCATTTTTATTTGTAATTATCAAAATCCGCCCAAAAGTAGTTCTTATACGGCAGCGATAGTGAGCCATGTAAATCAGTAAAATTAGTGAAATCATTGTGAAGTGATATAAATGTTTTGAATTGTACTTGAGTATGTGAATAAAGTTATTGATTTGGAAATTTGCCACATATTCATTGCTTACACCTTAAACTTTCCTCTTACCTCTCCATTTTTGACAATGCGCACAGCCTCCTTGATGGTGAACAACGTCAGATAGGCGAATCCCACTCCTTGACCGTCAGCGAAATGTACATATCCTCGTACTTGATTTTCTTCGTCTTCCATAAGAGTCTCGTAAACGATCCCATGGATTCGACACATATCCGCATTCGTAAATTTATCCAGATCGAAAACACCTTGATAGAAAATTCAGTTTCATTATCAGTAGAGCAGGCAGCAACACAAATTTTGTACAAATCTTCACAAAGCTAATATTTGTTCTACTCAATGTTCATACATTGTATATCAGAAAAATTAAAGTCACAACTTTTGGAGTTGTGTTCATTGATAATCATTTGTGAAGCATTCAAAACAAATATAATGTCAACTTATTTAGCGAAACGCGCGTCTTAAGACAGTGCTTTAGTTCAAGTGTAGAAAAATTATAGAAAGCACTAAGTTCTTCCGAAAGTTTTATGAAATTTTATGATATTGCTATTAGTTTTCTATTATTTTGACATTCCACATCAAAATTTAATTGATTTCATGAACTAATGTCTTTAATATTTTAAGCCGTTTCGGTAAAAATGAAATAGATATGATTTTCATAAATCAAAATTTCCTCATGGCGAATCAGAAAAATTTGTTCAAAGTGAAAAAAAAACGATTTTATGGTATTTTTTTATCGTATGCAATCAATTTTTTTGTAGAACCTCGAAAAGGAACCTGAAGAGAACCTGAAGAGAACCTGTCGATGAGAAATGATATTTGAATAATTTTTTTCAGATTTAGGTATCGGAAAATCCATTTTCCACATGCCTGAAGTACACTCATTCCTTTATCAGATTTCGCTTGATTTCATTCAATAAGTCTGATTTCGACGTTAAAATTAACGTTCAGATTATCATTATCTATCATTTTTATATTTTATCAGTCTCTCTGAAAAGTTTCATTCTTGCATGTATAAGACAGTAACATATCACAAATCCTTATTTGAGAACTCCATTTCAAATGAAAAAATTGAACATTTTTAATTTCCATTAGCTGAAAAAATATGTACGGCTAATATGCACTTCAAAAATTATTTTGGATCACTGAAGTCGTATATTAGGCACACACTATTTCAATTACAACTCATTCATTAATGTGTTCTGTATCATATTTCTTATAAAATGATTGAAGTTCAGTTGAAATTCAGGTTCAGGAAATTCAAGGTTCCGTCATTTTTATACTGGATTAGTTAATTTTTTCCCTATATATTGATATAGGTATAGGTAATATACAGATTATGAAATTATTTTTTGCAAAAAGAGTGAATGTGTCTATATAAGATTCTGCTACTGAGGTAATTACGTATCAACCATCATCTATGAAAATATAATCTCGAAAGTATCAGGAATATAGGACGGGTACACGAACATTGGTTATGCTGAATATTACCTAAAAAATAAATGGAGGTTTTGGAAAAAAGACAGTTATATCCAATATTTTAGTGATTTTTTTTCGAACATTGGTTATGCTGAATATTACCTAAAAAATAAATGGAGGTTTTGGAAAAAAGACAGTTATATCGAATATTTTAGTGATTTTTTTTCTTCGCAAACGTCACAATTTTTCATGTAGGTTACAATATTTCTAGACAAAAGTTTACTATTTATCAAATTTACATTATCATGTTTATAATGTCACTATTTGCCGGGTTTGAAGGTCGTGTATTTTTGGAATTTATTCCTGACGTTTCGCTGGCTCGAGTGGTTAGCTTCCTCAGAGGTTTATACATCCTGAGTTGATATACCCGATGACTGGATATTATGGCTGCGTAACGCGTATTCATGTTGATTCCTCAGGTAGTTTGGTATGCTAATACCTGTACCTGGCTTAGATTAATTACATATAGCGTGTTTATGTTGATTCAAGTAGTTTGATGTGATAATACCTGTAACTGGATTTGGTAAATTGTCAATAACATTCGTTGATCCTTTTCTAACTGCCGTCATGATGTTTGCTATTCTTGAACTTCTTGGAATGGGATTCCATATTTGATTGAGGTTCACAGCTTCTTTTCTCTTTAAATTATACGTACGTTTGTGGATTTCTATTGCCCCCGTACCAGTCGGCTGCGGTATCCCTGATCGGGGGCAATGAGTTCCGTGTTTTCAAGCAGAATCCTATGGTTTTCTTCACTGAGTGCGTGTTCTGCCACAGCCGACTTGTCCGTTTGACCTAGTCTGTAGTTTTTTTCATGCTCATTGAGCCTTGTTCCAATGGATTTTCTGGTGGTTCCGATGTATACCATCCCACAAGTGCACGGTATGCTATAAACCCCTGCTCCTGATAGTGGGTCCCTTTTGTCTTTAGCCGACCTGAGGCTTTGTTGTATCTCCTTGGTGGATTTGAAAACTGTTTCATTGTCGTGTTTCCCCAAGAGTTTTCCAATTCTATCTGTGACTTTAGGGATATAAGGAAGATACGCGCGTGCAACTATCTTAGCCTTCTCTCCGTTTTGAGTCATAGAACTCTCCAGCTTCATGTCTTTGCTAATCTCGGGTACACTGTATCCACTCGATATCAAGTTCACTTGAAGATGTTCCAGTTCTTCCTCTAGATGTTCCGGTCCACATATTCTTTCAGCTCATTCCGTTAGAGAGGAGATGACTCCTTTATTCTGACTAGGATGATGGTTCGATAGTGCGTGCAGATACCTATCCGTGTGCGTGGGTTTTTGGTACACTTGGTACATCTAGGAATGCTATCCGCTGCTTCTGTTCAGTCTTCATATTTCCATATTTCCAGATGACGAAGGTGTTATCTATATAACGTAGCCACAATGTCAGTTTCAATGCAAATATGTTAATTGTTTTCTTTAAAAAATCAAATCAGAGTGTATAAATCTCTGAGGAAGATAGCCACCCGTGCCAGCGAAACGTCAGGAAGAAATTCCAAAAATCCACGACCTTCAAACTCGGAAAATAGTGACACTGAAAACCTCGGTCGCGAAAGCGAAGGATGAAAAACTGAGTAATGAATCATTTTCTGGTAGCTGTTTCATACGCGCAAATAAATGACTTGTTATACACTGTTTGGAACCTTTGGTGTAGTAATGAATATTACTGGAGTTTTCTCCTAACACCAAACACGTGTTTCGATCACCAAGTGATCATCTTCAAGAGGAAGATCAAGTATATCATAAAATTTCTTAGAATAATTCATAACATATTTTTTTGTTTCAATATTGTATTTCTTCATTTTTGAAATCTGTTTTAGGTCAATTGGTAAGGCGTTGAAAAATTTGGGACCGAAAAAAAGAATGTTCTTTGTATTAATGTTTTTTTAAAGGATTGGACATTAACATTCATGTTTTTGGTAGACCTGCTTATTATATTATTTTTCTGGTTGAATTTCTCTTGATTTATGAACATTTTCTTCAAACGTTGGTGAGTGTATAATAGTTTAACATTCAATATATTTGCTTCCTGATATAGCTTATCGGTGGAAAAACGTGTATTTATTTTCAGGATAATTTTTAATAGTGTGTTTTGTGTTGTTTGTATAATGTTCAGTGTGTTGTTAAAAGCTCCACCCCATATTGTGATGCAGTAAGACAGAATTGATTGGGCTAGGGAGTTGTAGAGCATCATGAGGTTTTTTGTGGAGAGGATGTCTTTTAGAGAATAAAAACTTTGTAAAAGTGTTCTAAGGCGTTTGTTAACATGCATGATATGATCAGACCATCGTATGAGTTGGTCTAGAACTACCCCTAAATATTTAATTGATGACACTTGTTTAATAGCAGCATACCCACATACATTTTCGTGACACTTTATAGAGTGTAGTTTCAGAAACAAATTATGTGGTTGACTAATGAATGTTGGTGTAAATGCTACAAATTTATTGCACCCAACACTGTTTCTTGAGGCACCCCGATTTTCACTATTGACTACGTACCTACTTACCTCATTCCCAATTTTTACTCTCTGGACTCTATTTGTTAAATAATTGGACATAAGAATTTGTGTGAGACCACGAATGCCCTAGTGACTCAATTTATTTAGTAGAATTTCGTGTGATACTGTGTTAAAGGCCTTAACTCGGTCTAGAAAAACTGCTATGCATTTCAATGATTTGTCCAGGGCCTCGACTGCTCTAGAAAATCAACTACTGAGTTTTCAGTGTTTGAATTTTGGATGAAACCATACTGCCTGTCAGTAATAACGTTATGCTTGCGAAAAAAACTCCGTCAATCTTTTTTTAATTACTTGTTCAAAGATTTTTGCTAGATTGTTGATGACGGATATTGGCCTGTAGGTATTTATTTGACAACGGTTACCTATCTTAAAAATCGGAGTGACGAGTGATTTTTTCCATTGTTTTAGAATGTTTCCACTAGTAAGACATAAATTGAATATATGGATTAATGGGTATATTATGTACTCATGTACAGTTTTTATAGTTTTCAATGAGAGGTTTTCTGGGCCCGAGGAACATTTATTTTGTAGGTTTGATAGATAAATAATAATTTCGTTTTCCGTTACCGGTTCAAGAAAAATGGTTGAGTCAATTTTGTCACGTTCAGGAAAGTTTTGCTTCATATTAATACTTTGTATTTATACCCAAGTTTGTAAATAATGCATTAATATATATTTGCTTTATCTTTATCTTTAAAGGTATTGAGTTTATTTCTGTATTCTTTTTCAGTTTCATTTGAGAAATTTCTAATAAGTTTTTTTTTCAGGCGACCCCTATGTTCGATAGGTGTGATAAGACCAACAGTGATCCATGGTTTGATTTTTTTGTAGTATTTATTTCCGAAGGAAGATTGTACTTTTGTTGTGTCAATAATGTATTCATTTGATTTATCAATACAATACAATACAGATGTTTGTTACTCGTTTGATTGAAGGACGTTTTCCCATTTTTCTCCCTCTAAAAGATTTTTCAATTTTTCATAGTTTATGTAACTTGTTTTGTTTGTGCTTTTCTCTTTGGTGGTTTCATATCCAGGTAGGTGAAATTATATATAAGGTGTATAATGGTCTGTCGTTAGAAATATGATAGGCTCAATTTCAATTTCATTTTTTAAGTTGTCTTCTATTTTGGCGAAAATGTGGTCGATCGTAGATTTTGTGTCTTTTGTAACTCTCGTTGGTTTGTTTGTGTAGGATATGTAACCATTTGAATTCATAATATTTAAATGATTGTTGATATTCATATCCCCTAAGTACAGTTTATTGTATGATTTTCATTATAAAAGGGTTTTACAAAAACCGCGACACGTGTTTCGCTATACAATAGGCCTAGGTTGTTGTTGGTTTTGAAAGCAGTACTTATACCTTTGCTGTGCAGAAAATCTGAAATATTTCTAGTGAGTTGGCCTAAGTAGGTTAACGTTCTATAATTTTTATCCTCTTCTTTCCGAAGAGGAGAGAAGAGGATGTTTCCGATGTTTTATATAGGTCAAACTGGAGGAACGATCAAAGCCCGCATGAAGGAACATAAATATAGTTTTCAGAATGGAAAAATAATTTCCACATATGCCAGTCATGCCAGTCATCTCAGTCATGTCCATCTCAGATGGACATGAGTTCAACCATGAATACAAACCCTTCCATTTTCAGAAGAAAGGTTTGAAACTTCACCTGTTGGAGAGTATGGAAATAAACAAATTCAAAAACTATCAACATCTTATGAACGATCAAACTGAATTCAATTATTCACCATTAATGAATCTGTTCATTTGCAGGTAAAAATATTTAGGTATATTAACAGGTATACTTTTGAAAAATTTATTTATATTGTTAATGAATTCATACCTGACCTTTTCAGGTAGATTCGTTATTTAGGTAGACGAGTAGAGTATAAAATGGTTGTAATTTAGAAGTAACTCTCAGTTTATCCTTGAGGAAACTATTGTATAGCGAAACACGTGTCGCGGTTTTTGTAAAACCCTTTTATAATGAAAATCATACAATAAACTGTATTGATTAGTTTTTTAATATGGCTTTTCATCAAGTATCGGCCAGTTTTATTCAATTATTCAAGGATGTGTTAATGTCTTACTCACAAAGTTATCCTTATTACTAGTAGATAGGCAATATTGTGAAATTACTTATGATGTACTGTTTGGAACCTTTGGTGTAGTAATGGAATATTACTGGAGTTTTTTCCCAACACCAAATCGTTATTTTTACACATCGACACGTGTTTCGATCACCAAGTGATCATCTTCAAGAGGAAGATAAAACTAGAAACTACTCAAAACTAAAGCTATTTATGCTATTCAGGTACATCATACAGGTAGGTAATCAGTAATACCACCCATACAAGTGTACCACCCTAAATTAATTTTACAATTGGCCTTTCTATTATTTAC